ACTGTCATCAGCCAGGGGCTGGCTGTAGCAGCCAGGTCCTTTAAAGGATATGTATCTCCACACCCACAAAGAACCTTCACGGCAGTGCCCACGTGAAATAGCCAGGTGCTACGGTGTGGCCGGGTTGACACGTGCAGCTCACAGCCATCACACCAGCTGTGGCTGGAGCCGGGGCAAGGTGCCCACATGCGGTTCGAGCCCTTACCTGTGGCCTCGGGAGCCCTGAGACTTGAACAGGGGAAGAACTGGGGAGGGGTGGGCGTGGCCAGCTGCCGGGAGGAAGCAGTCCCCCAAGCAGCGCCTGCCCGAAGGGGTCACGGTCACAGTCCTACAGAGAGGTTTCTGTGGGTTTCTGCAAGTCTGCTGAGTAGTGCTAAGAAGCCAAGTAATGGTTTTTATAATTTCTCTATAATTACCAAGCTAGAATCTGTTTAAAACCCGCATAGTTAGGCGCGCCGTATCCAGATGTTCGACGCTGGGCCAGTGGAAGCTGTTTACAGTGCAAACCCTCTGTGCCAAAGGCTCACTGCCCCATGGATTCCACAGACCAAGCCCAGGACCTCAGAGCAGGAATCCCAATTAGCAGTAGTTCTGGTAGACGGTGGACTGAGGATTTTCTAGAGCTTAAAATCATGGATGATATGGGCAAGGTTTTGTCTTTAAACAAGCTATGGACTGTTGTGTTTGTTTGAAAATGTATGCGTGATCCGTGCAGGTCAGGGCCCCTGTTAACCTTCACAGCCTTGGCCAAAGTAAAGGGAAAAAGTCATAACGGACAGGAAATGCCAGGCCCAGCTGTGAGGTGCAGGGACCCGTCCTCCGGCCCTGTCGTGGGCTTCACTGTTTGACCCGGTGAAGCGCAGGCAGACCCCAGCAGCATGGCTTCCGGGGGCCTCTGCAAGCGTGGGGTGCGAGCGAAGCGCAGCCTGACCATTTAACCCGTGCCAGCCTTCCAGGAGACACTGCCTGGCACCGTCACGAGGTGAGTGCGGCTGCGGCTCGGCCGGCAAACATGTTCCCGAGAAGCTGAGTGGCCTTGGGAAGGCCACTAGCTTCCGCTGTGTCACCTGCCGCATGGGGAGTGAATGGCCGTCTCTCCAGCTGGCCGTCAGGGTGACACAAGGGGACGTGAGAGCCACAGGCCTGCCCTGGGCACTGAAGCCCTGACTCTCAGCGTCCAGCCCTTCCGAAGCCACATGCCTGTTGCCGTGGCGACCGCCGGGTTGATAAGCACTCAGACTGCCAGATTTAGCAAATAAAAATTCAGGACCCCCAGTTCAATGTGCATTCCACATAAACAGTGAATAAATGTTTAGTATGCATGTACTCCAGACATTGCAGGGCTCATGCTTTAGAATATCTTTTATTTGGTTTTGCACAAGAGGCACTCATGCTACAAAGTCACTGGTAGTGGACCTGGTGTTCAGATTTCCCTGTGTGCTCCATCGCTCCGTCGGGGACTCAAGAGGGACAGCATACCGCCCTCTGGACACACTGGTAGGAAGTGGCGCTGGAACCAACGGGTGTCGGGAGTTTCAGAGCCGCCTGCTGACCTCGCCGGTCCCAAGTCTGAGAGGACTGAACAGTTTATATGTTGCCCTCGACAATTAACAGCTGCCCTAGCAAAGAAGTCGGTCCTGTTTTAGAAAGAGCAAAACTTAATATCCCGTGGACTCCTGGGCCGAGGGCGGGAAGCCGTGTCTCGTGTGAAGAGGAAATGGTTTTCAGAAACACAGTTTCAGGGCAGTCTCTCCTTCACGTTTCTGGCCCTAAAAATTATTCTGGGGATTGTTTACAGTTTAGCATCTTATTGTTTTTACCCTTTTCAAAACCACAATACACGTCTTTCTCAGTGAGTCATGAATTGGAACTATGAAAACAAGCCTAACTGTATTCCGATGAGGGGAAGGTGAGGAAAGACATGAAATAGATGGAAATTTAGAACCAGTATTTACCTTAAGTAGATTATAGTAGTTTATTAATGGTGCTTTTAACATTTTTTAAAAAAATTGATGGGTGTGAAGACCCTACTGTTGTCAGCTGGCTTTTGACTGGTGTGGATCTCTGTGAATGTTCTAGAATGTAGCCGAAACTCGGGCCACCTGCCAGGCGATGGAATGACAAGCATCTGCTGTCATGTGTGTGAGCCCCGGACAACAGGGCGGGCACTTACTGTCCCCTGGGCACTGACACTTGGAGTCACACCCCCACCCCCGCGGTGGGATTGTCCCCATGCCAGACCGAGGTAGGGGGAGACCCGCTCCCCCAGGTCGCTCTGCCGGGAAGGGAGGGGCGAGGCCGGGTCCTGCCTGTGTCACTGATGCGCATCAGAGCCCAGTGAGACACAGAAGGATTTTGCAGCAAAGAAAGGAAGGGGTTCAGGACATGGCCCGCCCTAGAGCCACAGGTGAGCTGATGCTCAGAGCCCTGGCCGCCCCCGCCCCCCCATGGCTTCCAGGGGACGGGTGATGTAGGGGAAAGGTCACCCACTACCATGGGGACTCAAGGAGTGAGGGAGGGTCCTGGTTAGGGGTGTGGTCCCTGCCGACGGGTCTGCACTAGGGGAGGGGTTCTCGAACTCCATGCCCATGTCCACGGCTCCCTGACCCGGACCCGGACCCTGGCTGCTGTGTGCGCGAGCGGCTGGGCGCCAGAGCTGCCACTCACTACTCACCCTCACGTTTTCATTCCAGTCTCTGTGCGGGCCGAGTGCCCGGCGGGCCCCTGGGACGGAGGCGCAGGGCACCGCCTGGGTGTAAGGACTGGGGAGGGGACGGAGAGAGATGACAGCCCGGAGCTGGAAATGTCTTCATTTGTGCATTTTGGGGGGCTTTTCTGACGACGAGAGGCTTACTTGTTCACCTAAATAATTATCAGTGAGAAGTCACATTATAAAAAGCTATTACAAACACATAATTACATGTATGCCTAATGTGAGCGAGCTCGTGCGATTACACGTGTGATCGTAGAATGACTAAGATTAAGTAACGGTCATTGCAAAAGTGCCGTTTCCCTCCGTCGCCCCGCCCGCGTCCGCACGGAGGTGGGAGGCTGGCCGCTGCGGACGCGTGTGGGCCGGCGGGGGGGCTGCGGTCAGTGGTCAGGTGCCGAGGCCTCTCCTGTGGGAGGCGGGGCCTCCCCACCCGCCTGGCGCTCTCCTGGGCACCCCCACCGGGCGGGCCACAGGGTGGGGGGGGTGGCGGCAGTGCTCCCGGGCTGGGCGGGACGTGGCCGGAGGGGCTGGTAGGGAAGGAGGGCCAGCCGGGCCGCGGAAGGCCTTGGCTGTGGTTCGAGCACTCTCGGGGCGGGGGGTCCTCCGGGGGGCGTGTGGGCTCCTGGGGTCCGGCCCAGAACGGAGCCCCAGCTTGACACCATCTGTGTCTGCAGAAACGTCCGGTCCGGGGACAGGGCGGGTCTGGGGGTGACAAGCAGGAGCCGCCAGGCATGGACACCCAGCCGGCGGTGTCCCTCCGCCTCTCCCGGCTGCCCTCCGCTCCTCGGTCGTCCCTTCCGTCCTCGTCGCTGGGCCGGCGGCCGTGGCGGCCCCGGTCCTGGGACTCGTGGACTGTGTCTCCTGCTGAACCTTCACGGCGAGCCTTTGGGCTGGGTCTCTGTCTCGCAGAGAAGGGCCTGCACACTGGCCTGCCTGCGACCTCCCGGGCGTCCCCCCCTCTGTCCCCAGCCGCCCACCGCCCCGCCTCCGTGCGTCCCCGCCCTCACCTGTGGCCCGGGGGCAGTGGCAGCCGCCGTCCCGGGATGGGCCCCGAGCGCTAACTCAGTAGATGCCGGCGTTGCCAGTTTGCTCCTCCTCGGCCGCCAGCACACACTCGGGCGGGCGCCCCTCTGCCATCTTCCCCTCGTGCCCCGGCGTGTTTCCTGTCGCACAACAGCGGCCACGACCAAGACAAGTCCCGGCACAGACGGGGACGGGGACGGTCCTTAGCACCCCCAGGCTTGCTTCCTCCATTGCCCCAAATCCTCGGCAGCAGATGGGGGTTTTGCACTGAAGGTCGCTCCTTGGGCCACGCACCCTCCCTGGCCTCGACCTGACTGCCCTGACGGGAAGTTGTTCCCACACAGAGTCGGGGCCACAGCTGACTCTGTGTGTGTGTGTGTGTGTGTGTGTGTGTGTGTGTGTGCAGGGGGTGATGCATGAGTGAGCCCTCTGCTAAGTGTGTACCCCACTAGCCAGTGGTGAAAACGGGGGACAGCCTACCCAGAGGGCTCACACCCGTCCGCCCGCCCGCCTGCCGAACACCCTCGGCCTGAATGATTCCTCTCAGAGCCGCTCTGTACCTGTGGTTGTGGTCACCAACGTTTGTCCAGCCGTGCTTCTGGACACTGGGTACACACGGGCTCTTCCAGACCATGCCTGGTTGCCCTCCGGGTAAGGTCCGGTCGATCGCTGTGGCCCGGAAAGAAGACTTTCCCGTCTTCACCGGCTCCTAGAAAGACTGCTCTCATACTTGCACGCAGGCCCGAGGTGCGGGGACTCAAATTGACTCCCACCCTTCAGGCGCTGGGGCGTCTACCTCCTCGCGGCCTCGCGTTTAGCTATTTCTGGGGCACCCGAGTGTCGTGAATGGGGGAGAAAAATTGGGTACTCAGTGTCCTTTGATGGAGCTTCTAAGTATCCCAATCAGTCATCTCCCAGGACATTAAGGATTCTGTCTGCCATCTCGCTGCCTTTCGGAGCTCCGCAAGCACAGGGCACACGGACTCCTGGCGGATTCCTGATGGATCCACCCCCCCCACCCCCACCCCAGGCCCTTCCTCAGGGAGGGCCAGCCGCTTGTCCTCTCACCCTTCCGGCCCCTGCAGAGGAGTCGCTCTCGTTTTCCCTCCTGCTCCGAGACCCCTTCTGGGACGGGGGTCTGGGGCGGGTGACCCACCCCTTCACCCCCCGGAGGCGCTCTGTGCACAGCCCTGCTCCCCGCCAGGCCCGGCAGGGCGGCCCCGGTCTCGGAGGATCAACGTGTGTCTGCCGTGGTCTCTTGCAGAGCTGGTCATGCTGCTGGAGTGGTGGTCGGGCACCGAGTGCGTCATCCACACGGACCCCCGGGCCTACCCGCGCTTCGGGAAGGAGAACGCCATCGTCGTGCTGAACCATAAGTTCGAGATCGACTTCCTCTGCGGCTGGAGCCTGGCTGAGCGCTTCGGGGTTCTGGGGGTAAGTCGGGCGCCCCCGTGCACCCTCCCAGCACCATTCCCTGGCTCACACCGGGACGCGCCCTCTGCCCTCTCGGGCATTCAGAATGTGCAGGCGCCGGAACGGGGTTTCTGCCAGATCAGGCGTTTTTAACCGTCTGCCCTTCCCTCCAGCCCGGAGGGAAGGTGAGCCCCTCCCTGCGAACAGGGACAAGGTCTGTTCCCTCAGCCGTGCCGCGCGCCAGGCATTGTACACAGAGTCCGTCCGTTCCGTCCTCACCGACACATCTATGAGCCGGCGATACACACCCTCCGTTTCAACTGTGTTTTTATTTTTTAATCCTCACCCGAGGTTATGTTTGTGGATTTTTAGAGAAAGCAAAAAAAAAAAAAAATGATGAGAGAGAGGAACATCGATCCGTTGCCTCCCATGCGCAGGACTCGAACTCGCAACCTTTCGGTGTAGGGACGACCCTCCAACCCACGGGCTCGCGCGGCCAGGGCGCACCTGGCTTTTCAGAAAGCTCGGGGTTAGCCCGTGTGCTCAGGGTCCCGCGGCCGCCCGGCAGATTTCGGTGTGAGTCCACCTTACCTGACGCCGCCGCTCCACATCCTGCACCCCCCGCCGTCTGGTTCCGCGGCCAGCCGGCGGCCCTCGCCTCTGAGCTTTCATCCCCGGGGCCTGGGAGAGTCGAGAGTCGGCTCCCTCAGCGAGAGAGTTTGAACGGCGGAGCTCAGAATACACAGGAAACTCCGTTTCCCTCCACCTGGTTCGACCCCTCGCCCGCCTCTGGGTCTGGGTCCCCAGCGTGGACGGTGGTCGCCTTTAGGGGCTCGAGGCAGCGCGGATGCGGGTGACGGGTCGAGTCGCCCGCGGGGTCCGGGGGTGCCAACAGGAGCCACGGGTGCCTTGGCCTAGGGCTCCGAGAGGCTGTGGCGGCAGGTCCCTGACGTGGGGGCGACTCCCCGCAGACAGACGGGAGGGCTGCTCTCCTCGCGCCTGTCTTTGGGGGCCCCTGCGGGGGACATCGGAGTGTCGGGGCGCAGGGAACGGAAGACCCAGCGAGCAGATGGGGCCGGAGCCCGTGGGGCCGGTGCCCGGAGGTCCTGGTGCGCCTGGGCCCCGCGGTGCCTTGGCCGAGGGGACGAGATGCCCGTGGGACTCGTTTCGTGAGAGCTTCTCACACACGCGTATTTTCTTCAACTTGGAGCAAACGGAGAGAGAAGGACATTTGCCACGAAACACATCCCGCTGACGTCTGCGGGACAAACGATGGTCGTCACTAGGCAGTTTCGCCACCCAAAGGCCGAGAAGGTCTTAGTTTTCCAGGAGGTACAGCCGCTCCCTAAGTCACCATCACCACCCCACAGCTCCTAGCAACCTGGGCGCCCATGGGTGCCGGCGCCGAAAGGACTTCCAGGAAAGGGCCGGCCCTCCAGCCCTCCGGCCCGCAGTCCCCCTGCCGGTGCTCTGGTCGCCACTCCAGCCCTGACCCGGTGTCTGTGACGTGGGTGTGCTCGCACACATTCCCGGGAACAGACCCGAACACGCCCCTGTCGACCCGTCTCTGCCGCGGCCTTCACTCCCCAGGGGCACCCGTGCCGACAGGGCCTGGTGGCTTCCTCAGACAGAAACCAGACGGCTGAGGCCACGTGTAGAAGGGTGTGCGTGCGTGGCCGCTGCACCTGGAGCCCGTTCTTGGGTGCGGAGGGGTTTTCAGGGACTCCGCCCAGCGCGATGCAGGCAGGCCTCAGCCCCTCGGCCGGGACGGCGCATCTGCCCTGCTCGCCTGCCGGAGCCGGGGAGCCCTGGAAGCCGCAGAACTATGGTGAGGGGACAGAGGGGCCGCACGTGCCACTGTCCCCGGTCCCCAGGCACTGGACAAACAGCCGGGGCTGGGGCCGCACGACCTCTGCCGAAGCAAAGTGCAGAGTGGCAGCGGGTGCCATCAGGGAGGTGCAGGGAGAGTGGGGGGACCTTGCCGGGGGCCGGGCAGCTCAGGGGGCAGCCATCCGACTCTGGGCTCCAAGGGACACGTCCTCTCCACGGGCCAGGAGCAGTTCACCCTCTGTGTGTCTCCAGGAGCAGCCGGGGTCGGGCCAGGGCGTGGCCACCTCCCAAAGTGACCCACCCTTGGGAGGCGTGGGAAGGCCACCTTGTTATAGTCGCGGTCCAGCAGCACCTTGTGTCTCCGATGACCTTCACGCAAGTCACCCGCGTCATCTCCCTGCAAAAATAACGCGTGACGGTGAGGCTGCCCCGGGGTCAGGAGGGCTTGCTCTGCGAGATGGGGCGGGAGGCAGGTTCCTGACGGGGCGTTTTCCTTCTTCACCTGGAGCAGCCCAAGCGGAAGTGCATTTACACTGGAGCGAGTGGAGTCTGCATTCTTGGGGCGTCCGGCCTGGGGCCCGTGGGCCGCAAGCAGCCCAGGATGGCTACGAACGCAGCCCAACACAAAATCACACGTTTACTTAAAACGAGAGGAGATTTTTTTTGCCATGCATTTAATGCGTGGGCCAAGACAACTCTTCTTCTTCCAGTGTGGCCCAGAGATGACAGAAGGTTGGTCACCTGTAGGTTTCCAAGGGCCCATGTGGTCCCTGCAGGCTTTGGTCCCCTCGGAGCAGTGCCTTCACGGTGCGGGCCAGATCTGTCCTGATGGGCTGAGGGCGATGCACAGACAGGGAGAGCGTGTCTGCCTCCGTGCGCATGCTCCCGGACCTGCATGTCTGCTCTGGGCCCGCCCCCCGCCCCCAGGGCCTCTTCTCGGGGTTCCCCCCTGACCTGGCACCTGGCCTGGCTTCCCCTGGGGTGCGTGCTGCAAGAGAGAGGAGGAGGCACCCGGGGCCGAAGCCACAGCCTTCGAGTAACTGCGTGGGTCAGACTCTGTGCATGAGAACAGGGTCCAGGAGCCCTCGGGGCAGGGGCACCAGGAGGCAGGCTCCTGGGACCAGCATGGGGCGGCTCACACCACAGTCAGCGGGAGGCTGACATGTTCCCTGCTCAGGAAAGGTCACCGAGGGGATCCGTTCCAGCTCTGCCTGGAGACAGGTGGCATTGGTGCTGCGTTTCTTTGTCCCTAGAGGCGAGTAGTGTGACTGTCCCTAAGCGGAGGGCGCTCCGTGGGGTGTCATGCACTGCAGGCCGCCTTCGGCACCGGAGGGTGAGAGCCGCGGTCGGTCGTCATGAGTCCTCGGGATGCGTCTCCAGCAGGAGTGCCTGCAGGTGTATGCTGCGGCAGGCCCCGTGCTGGGCGCTGTGCAGATGCCGCGGTGGACTGAAAGATGCAGTCCCCTCCGTGCGAGGACGGCAGAGAAGGGCGCTGGGCCTGCCGCACAGCGGGGTCACCGAGGGCCACGATGAAGGGGGCGTGTGTTGGCTGCAGGACACAGGGGTGGGAGGACGGGGGTGACACCCAGCTGGCCCCCAGCGGCACCCAGAAGCGTGAGCACGGGCCTCACCGAGAAGTCCCGGGGAGTCAGACCCGCGACGACCCACCCTGCTGTTTCGCCGTCTGGACTCCCGGCAACGCGTCCCGTGAGCCAAGCCGGTCCCCCGCTGCAATGCACTCCAGGCGCTCGCTGCCCTGGCGTCCTCCACTCTTCCCACCACCTCCTGCACACTGGCAATGCCACCAACGCCCCCCTTGTCACACCCGCCGCCGTCCCCCCTGCCTGTGCTGCCATCGAGCCATGACCGTGTGTTGGAGCCCCACAGTGGAGACGACACTGGGTGGGGAATGCCCCCCCATTGTCCCCTGCACTCGGGGAGCCCGACCCCCCACCCCGCCCTGGCATGTCTTCTGCCCTGTGGCCCTCGTCCTGGGCCACCCCGGGAGGGACTCGGGCTGCCCTTCGGAATAGAAGGGGTCACCGGGGTCTGCGCCCGGGGACAGGGAGTCTGGGTCTGTGCCCAGGGACAGCGGGGCCTGTGCAGGGAGCACCTCTCTCCTCTGTTTGGTTCTGGAGCCCCGACCCAGCGGCCCGAGACCTCCTGGTGGTCCCCACACGGCCCTCCGCTCCCCGCCCCTCCTCTGCACCCAGGAGGAGGCGCTGGTGGGGAGACGGGAGCCGGACCCAGAGCCAGAGTGCCCAGGACATTCTGCCGGACTTCCACCAGGATTCACGTTTATCTCCAGTCTGCGAGAGGTGGATTCTCTGGGCGTTCCACATTCCCTCGTGGCCATGACTCACTGTGGAACGTCATTCATTCTGTTTCCAGCTCTTGAGACTGGCTGGGTGGTGTCGGGTCTCCGAGTTTCCCCCCGCAGCGTCAGCAGAGGGAGGAGGCACGAGAAAGACGCGGCGTGAGCAGAGTCGGGCCGCGTCTGCGTTCCCCTAGTTGGCACGAACTGCGTCTGTCACCTTCCGGTGTGCACGCACACCCCTGGTGAGTCACGCTGAGCTCCGGTCTCGTCCCCTGCACTCGCTGCGGTGAAGGACTGCCAGCTCCGGTCCCAGCCAGCTCCCGTCTCGGCCGCTCCGTCCCCGCCCCTCCTCCTGATGGAGAGTGCCTCTGTTCAGCCACCGAGTCACAGAGTTTGGGGCAGAGACGTAACACAGACGTCGCTGGCTTCCTGTTCCTTTCTTCCCACGAGACTTGGAGCAAGCACCTCGGGGCCGGGGATGATCCTGTCCATCTCTGGGCACCAGCACCCGGCACACGCCCAGCACAGGGGAGGGATTTAACAAATACCCGTTGCACAGACAGGACAGTTTCGAGGTTCACGTATCACGTGTCCCAACAGAGGCTGAGCTGCGGTCGGCTTGCTGGCCCCCAAGGACCGCTGGCTCACACATCTGCGACTGTCTCTCTAGCTCACGGTCAGGAAGAAATTCAGAGGTGACGTGTGGATGTTTCAGCCCACTTCGTATTCGAGTCTCCGAAGTTTCACTGAAGATGCCCCATTCAGATATTTTGTGTGTTTAGTGGAAATAAGTAAACCGGGCGAACCCAAGTGACTGACGCGTGACCACGCTGGTGACGCTGCAGGAGCGGCCACCGGTTTGGGAGGAGGCCGCAGCTGGAGGTGGGGCCGTCTGGCACACGAGCGTCTCAGCCCCCGACAGTGCTCCCCGCCATCCCTCGGGGCGGTCAGAGGAGGTGGGGGCGTCACGGAACGGGGACTGATGGGCGTGCCCTCCCCGTCCCAACCATGTCACGAACCCACCACCAGCACTTCATAGTTCCATCCTGTCAGTGGGCGGCGGCCCTGTTAGAGCCGTCCTTACCCGGAGGGTCCCGATCCCACCCAGCGTCCTCACAGAGACGAGAGCCACGCCGTCTCGGGGTGGAGTGGGCGGGGTCTCCGTGCTTTCTTAAAGCAGCTCTTTCCAGCAGCCTCTGGCCACTGCATGGGGGTTGACCAGTTGGCTGGTGGTGCCAGCTCCAGGGTTCGTGACAGATGCAGCCTGTTGCTGTCACCACACACGGAAGCGTGGCTCAGGGAATGGGTGGAACTCAGAAACGTTCAGCCGTGTGCTCACCCCGGGGGGGTAACAGTGGCTGCACATTATTTAACACCCGTGTGTAGGGTCTCAACTCCGTGCTTCAGCGTGTTTCCATGTGTTATGAAACCTTTACAGCCACACGTCGAGGTATGATTGTCCTGGCAACACAGCCACAAAAACTGAGGCTCGGGAAGGTTAATGTCCCCAAAGTCACACAGTCAGCTGGGCCATGGCGGAGCCTGGTTAAAAGAACCAGGACCGTGTTGATTCAGAAGCTCTTCACGAGGTCCTGGTGAGGGAAGGAAGCCCAGCAGCGTTTCTGGGACTTGGGAGCCCTCGTATTTCAAAAACCTCGCGTATCACGCACACGTAACCCACGTCAGGGCCTAGGCCTAACGGTAACACCCGGGAGTGTGAGGCGGAAAGACGTCTTAACGCGACACAAAGGCAGAGACAAGCCTGGTTCCCCTGCCGGTCCCCCTGGCGATGCAGAGCCTCAGCTGGGCTCCAGAAGAAGGACGTGCTGACGCCGGCCACTCCTTAGAGGTGACAATGTGAGGGGGACACGGAGAAGCGGTTTTCTGATGGACTCCAGGGCCCTCTAGTTAAACCTGAAGGTTGCTCCTGCTGTGACCACCGGGCTGGAGCCCCTGCTGTCCCTCCCGTTTCACCCTTTCCCCGTCACCGGGAGACCGAGCTGCGGCCACAGGTCCTTTAAAGAGGCGGCGTTACGTAACGAGCGTTTCCGCAGCCACTCGTGCTCGCGGGAAACCCACGGAGGCGGCTCCCAGCCCTGGGCTGGCAGACGTTGGCTGCGACAGCTCAGAGAGGGCATAGTTCAGCCTCGGGGAGCCACGTTGGGTCGCCTGTCACCACGACTCGCCCGTTGTCGTGTGACACCTGCCGGAGGCAGTGCGTGCGTGAAACGGGCCCCGGGAATGCAAGGAAAGTGCGTTCACGAGCACAGGTGGCGGGGCAGACGGGCCCTGGGGCCCAGGCGCGACTTCGCCCTGCAGCGGCTGCGGTTGCTCGGGCGGCTCCCCTGGGGGCATGCCGGTGGCTTCCAGTGAGTGGGCCTAATGAGGCAAAACGGTGACAGGCGTGTGGGCCCTCGAGCTCCCTCCCTCGGGGCCGCACTTGGACGCACATCCCTGTCAAAGCCGCCGTGTCCTCTCGGCGGGTCAGCGAGGGTCCACCCCTGAGGCCCCCGTGGCTCACGGAGACGGAGCCGCGGGCAGGACCCGCCCGAGAGTCCTCTTCCCCGGCAGGCAGGGTGGTGTGGCGACAGCCGTGGCCCGGAGCACGTGGTCCCCTCGTGGCGATGGAGCGGGTCATCTCTCACAACTTTAACAGTGCCACGTGTTATTTTTGGAATGAGTTCAGGCACATGTCATTTTTAAAAATAGCCTTCCCCTATGAGGAAGGCGAGTCTAGTTCTCCCTGGTGAAGATTCTGGGTTTTGTTTCCATCGCAAAGGCTGAGAGCAGGGAGGCGGCAGGAGTGACGGAAGCAGGGCCCACGGGGCCACCCCTGCTGGCCGAGGGGGGCTGAGGGGCTGGGCGGGGGACCTCCCCACCCCCCATGGCCGGAACCCCCCAGTGCACACACAGGGGATGAGCTTTTAAGTGGCCGTGGCGGGGGGGCCAGGGCACGTCCCAAGGCCGTGTGTGTCCGTGCACTTGAGGGACCGGCCTTTCCTTCTCGTTACGGCGGGAGACCGCAGGATGACGCGGCCACCTGTCCGACCTGAACCCCGAGCTGGAAGGCCAAGGCTGAAGACAGGGGAGAGTCCTCGCGGTCACGTGGCTGACGCAGTCCCAGCCGTCCTGCAGGCCCCGGTCGGCTCCAGGCGCCACGCACCTGGATCGGGGGCTTCCGCCCTGAGGACGTTCCTCACCTCAAAGGACCGCGGGGCTGCAGCCGGGTCCCTCCGTGGCGGCGGCCCCGATGGCCTCAGCATTTCTAGGCTGTCGTCTCGGGGTTGCCGCGTGACCAGCAAACCATGTTCACGGCGGAAAACCCAGCCAGGCCTCCCGGCCATCTCCCCTCTTCTCGGGGATCCGAGTCTTCCCAGAGGCCCCAGGACACTCGAGACCCCCCCCCCCAAGCAGACCTCTGAGCCGCCTCGCCCAGGACCGGGTCATTTGTCCACACTAAGTTAAGGGGCCCAGGGGACCCTGGGCTGCCCTCACTCGTGGTCACCCTGGTACTGGGCATGTTGCCTTTGGAACTAAATGGAGAGTGCGATCAAAGAGCAGGAAACGGGGGCTGTCGGGGCGGGGCCCGGCATCTGACCCAGGGACGCTCGTTAGTGTTTGCCGTGGACTTCGGCCTCTGACAGCCCGCCCGGCCTAGTGTCTCGGCTTCCCCTGCTGCAGCTGTGTGACGCTGGGCAAGTTACTTGACATCTCTGAGCCTCCATTTGGTTGTCTGTGCTCGCACGAGGGGAGCCCTCGCCTCACTCACGACGAGCCCTTGACCCATGGGTACCGCAAGGCTTGGTTCTCGAGAGAATTTGCCTGTTAGATTTTTTGGGGGGGGGACAAAAAGCCATAAATAACATGGAGACACTAAACCTGAATGGTGTCTGTTTTTTCTTCCTCCTTTGGGGAACACATTGAAAAAAAACGGTAAAAAGAGCAATGGCTGTTTGCATCTTCTTCCCATCTACACAGGGGGCATGCGTGGCCTTGTGCCTCTGCGAGCTGGGACTTTGTGACTGTCGCCGAGGTGACCGGGAAGAGGAGGGAGGGCCATGCTGGAGCATCGCTCTTCTGGCCTCTGGGCCCAGCGGGTTCCATAACCAGACACCTGTCACCAGGAGCCCAGCTTGGGCCACCCTGACTGTCCATGTCACCGCCTCAGTCACCTGTGCCATTGGCCAGGGATGGCTATTTCACGGAGCATCTTGGCCAATTCCAAAATTAGGGGTGAAAATATAGAACCCAAATCCACTGTTACAGAGCTGCTTCAGTGTCTCCCCTGCCTGCGCCCTGCCCCCACTGGATCCTGGTCTTCCCAGTCCGGGGGCAGCCGTGCAGCCTGGCGCAGCTGGCCGGGGGCCCGTGCCAGCAGCCCGGGGCGCCAGCCTCGGCCTTCGGGAGATGCTGGCAAAGGGACACGTGGTGAGCCCCCTGGTGGCCGGGCACCCCTGTTCCCTCGTCTCTGAAAGGAGGGCAACGCTGGCCCTGCAGAGCACGCAGGTTGCCTGGGGGTCGAGGGAGTTGACGGAAAGGGTTGGTAAAGTGCCATTGCAACTCATGACGGGCTCAGCGCGCAGAAGCGACGGTGACCACCCGAGACCCTTAATGTTCCTGACCGCCCCTGGTGCCCACCTGAATGCCCACCCTCCCCACCCCACACGGGGCTGACTTGGCAAAACCTTGACCTCTGGCTGACCAGCGGGGGTGCCTCTTGCTGTCCTGTGCTCCGGACTGCCCCCTCAGGCTCTCCCGGTGGCAGTGCATCCTCTCTCTCCGGGGGAGCGAGAGAGTGCGATGCCCACTGTCCTTTCCCTGACACCCTGCCCCGGGCCCCTCCTCCGCTCCAGGGCTCCAAGGTCCTGGCCAAGAAGGAGCTGGCCTACGTCCCGATCATCGGCTGGATGTGGTACTTCACGGAGATGGTCTTCTGCACGCGCAAGTGGGAGCAGGACCGCATGACCGTCGCCAGGAGCCTGCTGCACCTCCGCGACTACCCCGAGAAGTACTTCGTACGTAAGGCCCCCGGCAGCCGCCACCCCTGCACCCGTCGGCCCGTGCGCCCGCCCCAGGGTGCTCTCGTCACCCCCCCCCACACACACACACACACACGGACACTCACACACACACTGGGCAGCGCCCAGCTGTCGGCAGAGGTCGGCGGCATCCGGGTTCACCGGGAGGGCAGGGGCAGGCACAGCTGTCAGGCCGTCCCCCCTCTGGCCACGCCCCAGAGGCTTCTCCGGGAACACGCGTGGCTCGGGCGCGCGATGGGGGGCGCAGGGCGTGTGCGTGTGGCACCCGGGGCGCCGTGTGACCCTGGCCTGTCCCCGGCAGTTCCTGATCCACTGCGAGGGCACGCGGTTCACGGAGAAGAAGCACCAGATCAGCATGCAGGTGGCCCAGGCCAAGGGGCTGCCCAGCCTCAAGCACCACCTGCTGCCGCGCACCAAGGGCTTCGCGGTCACCGTGAGGAGTCTGAGGAACGTAGGTAAGGAAGACCCCGGGGCGCGGCCGCCCCACTGCAGCGAGGGCCACGAGCCCACACCCCGACAGGCACTGCACTGCTGGGTCCCCGTGGGGCTCATTGGGAGGGGAGGGGGCGAGGATGGCGTGTGCACACGTGGTTAGCCAGGGCCCCCCCACCCCCCCCACCGCACCTGGGGTGGGAGGTGTGGCTGCTGCCTGCACGCGAGCACACACAGGCGCTCACACTCACACTGAGGCAACACTGCCCCCCACTGCTCAGCACCGGTACTGCATGGCTGTGCACCGTGGGGAAGCCCGGGCTCTGGCCTGGGTCCGCGGTGGCCCCACACCCGTTTTTGTGTGCATTGCCTGCTCATCTGCTGGCCCCACTGCCCCCAGAGGATGCACTCTGTGACCCTGTCATGTGTGGCAGCTGGCCCTCTGCGCTGGGAGCCCTAAGTCCCTGTAGGTGAGAAAGAAAGTAGCAGCCGTAACTGCTGCTCAGCCTGTCCCTCCAGGTCAGAAACGCCATTCTTTGCTCTTTTCCTGCCGGGGGACCAGCTCTCCCCCCCAAAAGGCCCCCGTCCCTCCTCTCCAAAGGGGCCAGAAGGGTGGAGCTGGGGGGTCTGGGGCGGCTCAGCCTCCCCCGCAGCCTCCTGGTGTCTGGCTGTGGTGTGTGGGTGCAGCTGGGTGCTACCCCAGAAAGAAGAGACGCAGCGGTCAGCCGTGGCTCTGTCCATACAGCCTCACCCTTTGGCCTGGCCCTCAGGTCTCCCCTGCGCCCTGGGAGCCCCCCAGTGCTCGGGGGTTGGGGTCAGAGGATGGGGTGTGGACGGCGAGTGGCCTTCTGTGGCACTGCCCCCCCCCCACCGCCAAGCGTCAATGCCCTCCCTGTTTTTTGGCCACACGTGAAGGGGCCATAGCTCCATGCCATATGGACGCCCATCACCCTCCTCCCGTGCCTATGCCCTGGTTTAAATCGCCCCTCGAGGGCTGTGCTGCCCCAGCCTAGACACGCCCTGTGAGAGCGCACTTCCGACCGACCGGTCGTACTGTCGGCCCGTTTAAGCACTGGCGTTGGCTGCTGGACTCCCAGGCGGGACATCGAGGTGCCGCTTCCCACACCCCCGACCTCAGCAATGCCCTGGTTTCCTCCAGCCTGAAGCCCTCGTGTGCTTTTCTGGCCCCACAGCGGGGCGCACGCGGCCGGGGCACTCGGTCACGGGCAGACGGCACGGAGGAGAGGCCGGTTGCCCCCGGCTCGGCCGCGACCCACTAGCACCCGATGACTGTGTTCCAATGTGTGTGTCTGCAGAACCGGCCTCGGCTCACACGCTCTATACTGCTTTGTATTTGTTTTATTTTTTTTATAGTTTCAGCTGTATATGACTGTACACTCAATTTCAGAAATAACGAAAACCCCACCCTGCTGGGCGTCCTGAACGGAAAGAAATACCACGCGGATTTATACGTCAGGTGAGTGGGGGCGGTTCCCGTCTCCGCCCGCAGCCCCCCTCCCGGGGGGGGGGTTCTGTCCAGTGTCTTCCCGTCCGCAGTCCGCTCTGCGCCGAACATCTCTGAGGTCTGCATTATTCACGTTGTGCGCTCGAAAGGCACACGCCCTGTTGGGGACACTGGGGTGAGCTCTGCCCCCTCCTGGTCCTCTCTCGCCGACGCCTCCAGCTCGTGGCACCCAGGCTAGGCAAGCGGAAGTGGGTGTTTTGCCATCATTTTAAGACCAGGTGTAAAGGGGTAATTTCCCAGACCCCCCCGTTGGACAGAGAAGCGCATGCGCAATTCCCGGGGAGGCCTGGACGCCGAGAGAACCGCCCTAGTGGTGTCTCACCCACGGGCTCCAGTCCAAGCTGGCAGGGCTTTGTTGGAAACACCTGGCAAGGTGTTGGACAAACCAGTTCCCTCTGCCTGTTTATCGGTTCGAGAATGTCTGGCCCCGGAAACCAGTGGAAGAGGACATCGGACAGCGAGGGAACGGTGACTCATTCACACGCTAACACCCCACGGGACGGGGCTCAGACTGGTTTTTTTAATGACTCGACACGCCCACTGTGGGAGAGCTGGCCACGTGTTCCGTGACATCCTGATGATGTAAGACCCCAGAGATGCTGAGGGACAGCACAGCGTAAGGGAAGTCCAGTGGCTGGCCACCCGCCCGGGCTGCGGGGAGAGCTGGACCTTGCACCAGCAGGCGGCAGCCTGAGTTACATGGCTTTCTACCTCGAAGCAACGCTGGTTCCCCCTTAAAAACAGGAAAGAAGCATCATAATCATTATTGTTTTCTCCACCGATGCCGCAGTCAGCTGTCTGCCCTGTCGCTCTGTGCAAGGAAGGCCCGGGGACAGGAAATGCACCCTCCTTCCCAAAGGGAAGTGAGGCTGCCCCCTGGGGTCTGACAACACGCGGCAGGCACTCCGCTCAGGGGGCCAGCGGGGCCGGGGTGTTTGGGGGGACCCAGAGTGGTCAGTATGCAGGAGGACCTCAGCTCCACCAGGCCCTGCTCAGGCCCCTGCCCCCTGGGCGTTCAGGTGCGCGCTGGGGAGGGGCACCGCAGCCCTGCCCTGTCCACCCTCGGGGGCATCCACACCTGAGCCCTTGCCAGCACCCCAAAGGCTGTCTCGAACCTCTGGGCCTGGGAGGGTCCCCTGGTTTCTCCCACCCTGGGGGGCGTTCGCTCCCCAGGACACAGGCCACGTCCCTGTGCTCTGCAGAACCCTCACAGACAGTCTGCCCCAACGCTGCCCCGAGGCCCTGGACCGCTGATGGGGGCCACCTGGCCACCAGCGTCAGGTCGTTACCTGGCGGGGAAAAGTACCTGCACGTGGTCAGCTGGACTCGGTGCTTCCCCGGCTGCCTCGTGGGGAAACCGAGGCAGCTGCCCTTGATGGGCCTCTCTGTGGGGGGACGTGAGGGGGTAGAGCCCACTTGGTCCTTCTGCCCTGGGCCAGGATTTCGCCCCGCCCAGGTTCCCCGTGCAGATGGGGCCTCCCCGTTTCCTAGCACCTGAATTACCCCCCTCACAGCCCCCACGACCCAGCCACCTGCAGAGAGGCCGGAAGTCCGAGGCGCGTTGGGAGGGCGGGGCCTGGCGCCGGGCTCCTGCCAGCTCCGCCCTCTGCCTTGCAGGCGGATCCCCCTGGAGGAAGTCCCGGAGGATGAGGACGCCTGTGCGGCCTGGCTCCACCGGCTCTACCAGGAGAAGGTCAGTGCGGCGCGGCGGCTCTGCGGGCTCCGAGCACCCACTTTGGGGGGCAGAGCGGGTGTGTGGGGGGGCCTTTCCCTCCGGGGGCGAGGTCTCACGGCCCCGTTAGTAACAGCCCTGGAGCTGACCCTCGGCTCAGCAACAGGGCAGAGAGCAAAGTGTGCTGGGAGGGGCGCCACTGAGAGCGCGCAAGCACGTCACGGGTTTAGTGGGCAGAAAAGGCCGCGATGGCCCCGGCAGCCCTCGCCCGGAGGCAGCGTGTTCCTGGGGTGGGGTGTATCCCTCCGCGGTCACAGGGGCTTGCTGGCGCCTGGGTCCGCAACCCGGCTGCCCGTGTGGTCTCCAAGCACCGCCGGCACGAGCAGGAAGGCGCCCACGAGGTCCAGCTGGGCCGGTTCGATCTCTGCAGGGCCCCCCCCGCCCCCGGCCTGGGGTGGCCCAGGGCCCCCCACCCCTTCCTCCCTCTGAGCACGGCCTCGTCTCTCCCTGGGTTCTCTCCTCTGAGACGTGCGCAGGGCAGAGGGAGCCCAGCCGTGCTGGGCCCGACCGCCCGACCTCACGAAGGAGGCAGGTGTGGCTTCCACCTGGCGAGGAAGGCATTTGGTCGCCCAGGAAACGCTGAATTCTGGCCCGTCGTGCACGTGAGGCCCAAACGGGCTCGTTATCTAGAACCAAACACATTCGGCGGCTCTGCCGCCCCTCCCCCAACTTCCAGACGCCCCGGCTGCTGGGGCACGTGCTGTCTTCTCTGCCCGGTCCTCGCTCGGGACGTTCTGGGCCCCCTCGCCGGGGGAACGAGACCTCGAGACCGAGCTTGAGGAGGTTTCGGGGTCTCGGTCCGATCGCCACGGCCCGATGAAACAGAGACGCTCTCTCGTGAACGCACTCAGTGTTCTGCATGAAGCTGCGGGATTCTCGCAGCGAGCTGCGGCTGTCTTCCCCAGGGGAGCGATTTTCCCATGATGCCTCTGGCACGCCGCTCCGGAACGAGCCCTTTGGGTCTCTTTTCTGGGTGGTTCTGGGCACAGCTCTCCCGTCCCCTCTGGCACCAGGAAGCAGGGACTAGTCACGTGTCGGCGGAACACGTGGCCGCGTGAACGCCTGGGCCTCGCGCTCCGAGACTGTTCGCAGGAGGCCCGGGCGGCGCTAGGGGATGCGTACTTCCTCCCCTAGGGGGGCTGCCTCGCACCCGGGGCTGCGAGCGCCCACGTTTTTAACGAGGTTCCAGGCTCTCGGGGTCCCGTGCTGCTGCTGCTGCTGCGCGCCTGGGCCCGGACGGAAGCACGATGTGAGTGCTTCCCCGCCGGTTCACTCACGAGGCGGCATTCTCCTCGTGCCGGTTTCCCGTGGAATCATCGAGGGCAGCGATGCTCGGCAGGTGCGCCGCCCGAGTTCCTAAAACACGCGGCACCTGGCTGGTTAGTCGGGGGCACCGAGCTCTCCTCCCTAGAGTGTCAAATAGAAAAATGACAACAGCCAACGCAACGGTAGCCACCTGGTGCGAATGAATCAAAAGGATACTTTTTTTTGTCAGATCAAAAAATGTATATGTTAGTGTGCCACAGAATTTTAGTAATTAGTTTACGTGTGTTGTGAGATGACAATGGTTGAAAATCGCTGGTCTAGGTGATGTAAAAAATATCACTATTAGCAAAAACAAAAATATGGTCAGAAAAGGCCTAAGAAGTGAATCCTTTTGTAAGGAGCCGCAAAAACCAACAGCAAATGCAGCCCTGGAACCCCTCAAAGCTAAGGGGCTTGTTGTCCACTGGCGCACCTGTGTGGAGGCGGGAGCTTATTCCTGATGGGCCCACCTGCGTGGAGGCGGGTGGAGCGTGGTGACTGCGCAGGGGGCCCTGGGCTTTAGTGCAGGGGCTCCCCCCCCCCCATAGTCTCAGGATGTTTTTCTTGCAACTGCATTTGCATTAAAACGACAGCCTTCAATGTGGAAGAGGCTCCCCAGGCAGCCACCCAGTTCACAGCTCTCAGGTTAGTTAAATCAAGGTCTGGAAAAGGACATGATTTGCCCACGTCTCCCAGCTCTTCCCTCAAGGCTGGGGGCTGGCGGCCAGGTCCTATCTCCCGACGAGGGCCCGAGGCCCGGGACGGCTGCCCGTTCCCTGCGAACGGACCCAGGGGGCTGGCTTTTCCCTGTGGGCACAGCCACTGAGCCGTGGGTGCATCGGCTGTACCTCCGGGAGGGAAGCTCTGTCGCTCCCGGGCCCGCCCTGTTTTCCCAGGAGCCTCGGTGGGGCTGGGACCTCACGTCGTGCCCCGGGTGTTGGTGCCTGCCGAGCTTGCTGCCGTGGGGTTCCGTTTAATCCTCACGTCCCTTCCGTGCCCAAGCGAAGTGCCTGCCAGGTGCAGGAGGGGTGGTGGGCGCCAGGAGGGGTGTGCGACGTTGCATGCTCGTCCGAGCAGCGACACACACAAAACGAAACCCGCTCTCTCCCACCCGCATTCAAACACTCTCTTCGACAGGACAGCCCCGTTTCTGAAAGCAGGGCCGGCCTCTAGGTGGAGCAAACTCGGCCTTAGAGGTGCGCGTGGGGCCCCTGCTGGCCAGGGGCCTGGGCTTCAGGGAACCGTGTTCACCCTCCCCTGATCCTCAGGGACCCAAGTGGTTCCCAGGTCGACTCCATCCCAGGTTGAACCCGTAACCCCAGAACCACCTGGGGACGAGAAAGGGGTTCACCAGAGAGTCCACCGTAAACTCCTAACGGGGCAGGTCCCGTGGGTGCTCGTGCCTCAGAGCTCCGACGTTCAGTGAAAGGTTCGGCCAGAGGTCCGTGTCTGCCCTGGGCTAGCCCTGCCTGTCGTTTCTAGCAGCTAGGTCAGCGCACCTCTGAAGGAGCCACCCTCTGGAGCACAGGCGGCGAACACAGGCCCGCGGGCAGAATCCGGCTGGCACCTAGTTTCTACCCGGCGGCAGCGCCGAGCTCCTTGCCCCTGGCTAAGGAGCAGTTACATGTACACAGTAGTTACATGTACACGGTCCTCAAGTTGCACTCCACCCTTGGAAGGCCACCGCGAGGCTGACATGGCCCCCGGTGACAAGGAGTTTGGCACCCCTGCTCTAGCAGCACGCACTGCTGTTACCTGGGATAATCCTGCCCCCCAGCCCCGCCCCCACTTTCTCCCACCTGCCCGTGAACTTCCCTCCCTTCCCTCCTTAATCCTAAATGCGTGACAGCTGTGGCGGCACACCGCCGCTCTCCGAGGCGCCTTCCGTCTGCGGGGATCCTGCTTCCAGGCCCGTCCCGTCTGCAGGCACCTCCTCTGCAGGTCTGGGCGTTCTCCCCTCAGCACGCCTCTCCCCAGGCCTTCCTAGTGTAACTCCTCGTTTGCAGCTGCAAGCACCTCCTGGCGGGCAGCCTGCAGCCTGCGGGAGGGGTCAGGCAGGAGCCGCTCGGTGACAACTTGAAAATGGGCTGCCGCCGGGCGTGCAGGGTCCCAGGAGGCCGGGGTGGCTCCGGGGTGGGGGGGGACGCAGAGCCCGGGCATGGGGAGCAGAGGCTCACAGACAGAAATTCACTTCTCTCAGCTCTGGAGGTGGGGTTTAGGAGTCTGTGCTCAGGGAAATAGCTCAGTCTAACTCTGGTCACAGCCCCAGTCCCGGCTGCTGTGTCCACACACGGTGGACAGAGGGAGGGGGCTCTCTGGGGTCGCAGGACCAAAGTACTAACCCCGGTCATAAGGGCTCCACTGATGCAGACCCCGACCCTCGAGGTCCGTGGGTTGTGGCTGCGCTGGACAAATGCACACGGACTAAAAGGGACGGCATGGCCACTTTCTGAGTGAGAGAGGGGGCCCTGATCCCTGCCTGGACAGGCTGTTGTTGCTTTTCTGGATATATTACATTGGGGATGGTCCTCATTTACCATGCACAGGTTCCCTGTAGGGGATTACCTTTTACAGATAACAAAGGAAAGAATGTTGCTAATTACTTCAAAGAGAAGGATGTTGCAGACCAAGGGGAAAAGTGGTTTAGCTGGTTACACTCCATACTTGGGAGATTTAGCACAGATTTTAGGGAATTTCCTCAGATTCACAGTAAACATTTGCTGCTTCAATCCAGGGTGAGGAATTTTAGCAAAACCAAGCCTCATAGCAGCCCAGGTACAGTGCAGGTCTGATTCCCCACAGGAGAAACTATCTGTGGGCGTGGGTCCTGTGTGCCCGACCTTGATTCCCACTGGCTTTTCCAAGTGGGAGCTGGGCCACATCCCCCACGCCACGCAGAACGGTCCCCTACACTCCACCCTCCTGGCCTAGTCACCTTCCAAAGGCCCCACCTCCTAACACGGTAACCTCAGGACTCCAGTGTCAGTGCGTGAGTTCTGAGCCCGCTGCGCCCCTTCACTGGCGACCAGGCTCCTGGTGGCCCCAGCCTGGGCCCAGCACAACCAGCCTCCTTTCTGGCAGGGAGGAGACTCTGGAGGCCTGGTCGGAGGCAGGTGCCCCCCCAACAACACCCCCAGGCATGCCCACCAGTCACTGCCACTTCCACATAAGATTTCCATCCAAGTGACCAGCTCCATCTCCCTCAGTCCTGGGGGCTGGGGGGCAGGCACTGGGCACACGGCCACATTGGCCAGCAGTTGCTTGATTTCTGGTTTCCCCGAGAACCTCCGTGCTTCCCACAGCTGCTGTCCTCCCGCCCTTGCAGAGGCCGCGGCGGTTGGGGGGCCGGGCTGGGGAGGGCGCAGGCAGCTCCGAATCTCTGGGGGAGAGGCCAGAGGTTCTTCTAAAATGGCCTGTTTCGTGGACCAATTTAAAAAGGAATGACTCTGCGTGGTATAAAAAGCATATTATTCCGTTCTCACTGATTGGGAAAGAGAAAAGTAGGATTGATGTGCTTTGGCCATTTCCATCTCGGCACTTGAAGCAGGTGGAAGCTCGTTTCCCAGACACGGCCGGGGTAAGCCGGGGTCAACCGGGGTCAGCTGGGGTAGGCCAGGGTAAGCCAAAGTAAGCTGGGGTAAGCCGGGGTACACCACTGGTGTGCTGTCAGCCCAGGGTGCTCTGACGCCTTCGGCAGGAAGAAACAGGGAACCCCCCAGGGCCGGCCGACTCTGATCCAAGAAGGCTGCCTGGCCCTGTCCTCCGAAGGCTGGGACCCACTCTGGGGCGGCCTCGTCCTGGAGTCGCAGCCTCTGCCCTGGCTGCCCTGGCCCCGCCCGGCTGTGTGGTCAGCGGCGTCAATCACCCACAGGCATGCCCTGTGAGTCCCACCCTGGAGCCCCTGCAGAGCCTGGCCTGGCACCCTGGTGCCCCTTCCCACCCACCACACCCAGCCTCCTTCGGGGCCTGTGCTCTGCGGTGTTTAGACACCGACAAGCATTATTTCTGGAGTTCAGTGGTGGGTGGGTGACCGCTTTGGCCTTCTGGGTGGTCACTCAGCAGTCACCTGCTCCTGAGGGAGGGAGGAGGCCTGGCCAGCAATCCTGTAGCGTGGGCCTGGCCTCCTCCCTGCGCCTCTCCCCCCACCTCTCCCCCACCACCTGGAGCCCACGTGAACCCGTGCGGGAGGACACCCACAGGGTGGTGGGGTGGTGGGGTGGTGGGGTGGGTGCCGCGGGCTCCTGTCCGAGGCGCAGGTCTCCACCCTGCTCTGGCGTCACCCAGGGCGGGACTGGGGCAGCGTCCCTCCACCTTCCCCGCCAACCCGTGCGGACGGCGCTCCTGCCCAGGAGGCTGGGCCTTGGGCTGCTCGCCTGCCCAGGCAGGCAGGGCAGTAAGCAGCCGGCGAGGGGGGGCGCCGGCTGGCCTGGACTCGGTGAGAGGCTACGGCGGCCCCCTCAGCGGCGGGGCCTCGGGTGGGGCCCGCGGGAGCCGGGGTGTCCTGGGAGAGCGCTGAGAGCCCCCCTCTGTCCCCAGGACGCCTTCCAGGAGCAGTATTGCAGGACGGGCACCTTCCCCGAGACGCCCATGGTGCCCCCCCGGCGGCCCTGGACGCTGCTCAACTGGCTGCTCTGGGCCTCGCTGCTGCTCTGCCCCTTCTTCCGCTTCCTGGTCAACATGGTCAGCAGCGGGTCGTCCCTGACGCTGGCCAGCGTTGTCCTCGTCTTCTTTGTGGGTGAGTGGCGGGGCAGGCCACAGTGCGGGCCCGGTGGGGACAGGCCAGCCGCCAGGGGGCGGACTTCACTCCCGGCCTCGTGCTCCCTCCCCCGGGTCTGCAGGCCCGGGACTCCCACCGGCTGTCCAGCCTCTCGCCCCCTCCCCGGCTGTGGGGGTGGCCGTGTCCACTGGAGTTGGGCCCCCAGGGCAGGTGGGTGGTGACTGGCGTCTCCAGGTCTTGGCACACACGGGTACAGAGCCACAGCCTTGGTCTGGGGACTTGAGAGGGGGAGCGGCTGAGACAGGGAGTCCCCGGCCAGTGAGGCCACGCGCCCCACGGGTCCGTGCAAACCGGCAGATGGCAGCCTGGTGTTACAGAACGCAAGGGGCCACGGAGGCCGAGGGCAATGGACTGTTACCGAAAGGAACCCCCCAGGTTCGTTATGTCCGCCGCCTTATAGGGAAGACATCTCTCAATGCCATAGATTCGTGAAAAGGAAAGGAAATGTTTGTTTAATGCTATACAGACTTAAAGTAGTGACCTAATGTCTTCATCAAAATCCCAAAGTCCTTTAAAACACCCACAAACACACACAGTCCTTCCTTCCTTCCCCCTTTGCCCAGTCTGGGGTACCGTGGCTCAGGCAGCCCCCGGTTCTTCCCAGTAATCCGTCTCGGCTGGTAGGCCTCCCTTGGTTCCCGGCACCATCAGCTGTGTCACCGGGATGTCTGCTAGAGCCGGGTGGTGGTTCCCCCTTCTAAACCTGCGGGGGTCCCCACTCTGGCAAAGCCGCATGGTCCCCCCTCAATGGCTGCCACGTCTGGGTTTAAATCCCCGCGCCAGTCCTCCTCTGCAGCCCCATTTCCGACTCCGCCCACAATCAGCTACACCTGCCAGCACTCCCCTATCCCTCCAGCTTCCCTGGGCTGCCGTCACGGGTCTGGGCAGGCGTGACCCCATGTCATGGAGCCAGTCTTCTCCAAGCTCCCACGCAGGCGCTGTAACTTGGGGGAGTTGCCTTCCAGTTACTTCTTGGGGGGAAGTTACTTCCATCCCCCTGCCTCAGAGCATGGCCACAGCTATTTAACATGGCTGTGTGAACAGTTAAAGGTTATAGATGTGTTAAATGCCCGTGCCAGAGGTTAGCTGCAAAGCTGTTGCTACGTAAAACAGCCCTCAATGGCCCTGCTCCATGTGTCCCTTCCCCCAACCCACACCTGTGGGGAGCGGGTGGGGGGGGTGGTGAGGACATCCTAGTATTTCCTGGACACCCTGAGTTCTGGGGCCCGTTCCAAATCCCTGTTTGGGGTCCCCCCCTCTTGGCTGCACCCTGTCATACTGGGGCCAGCTCTGGACGGACGGAGCCCCGCCCCGCTCCCGTGCCGGGGAGATGGTGAGTTCACACTGCGGGGGGTGGAGAGGAGCTGAGGCAGGGGCTCGGGGCACTGGGCTGCCCCAAAGCCCCTGGGAGCCCCCTGGCCCAGTCCTCGGTCTCGGACATGTGCGCCCACACACGCTCACCCGGAGTCGCCGCTGACTCTGTCCCCTCCCGGTGGGTCGTGGCCGCCCCCGTCCACCCCACACACACACCGACCTCGCTCCCCTGGATGGAGCCCACCATAGTGGGGCTGCAACAGGCGAACCGGCCACTGTCCCCGAAATGGACCCCAATGTTGCCTTTCCCGTAACTGATCCATTTTAATGGTAAAAGTTAAAATAGCACCACGAGTAGGGGAAGCACAAAGACGAGGATGCAGAAACCCCTACTGACGGTGGTCACCCGGGCTCCTGGTGGGGGGGGCAGAAGGGGGACGCAGAGCCCGGTGCCCCCTGAAGGAGGCTCCCTGCTGTGTGGTCAGGGCCTGGGCAGAGGCTGAACATGCTCCCCAGGGGCCCTGGGGGCTCCCCCTCACCAGGGCCCGGGGCCCCGAGCCCCTGCCTCGGCCCCTCTTCACCCCCCGCAGTGTGAACTCCCCGTGTCCCCGGCACGGGTGTGGGTGGGGGCTCCGTCCATCCAGAGCTGCCCCAGGCTGCCATCTGCCCGTTTGCACAGACCTGTGGGGCGTGTGGCCTCACTGGCTGGGGATGCCCTGTCCCAGCCATTCCCCCTCGAGTCCCCAGCCCAGGGCTGTGGCGCTGTACCCGTGTGCGCCAACCTGTCCACCCTCACACCTGCGGTGCGGGTTGCTGCCGGGCGCTCCAGCCAAGCGAGGTGTGCTCCTGCACCTGGGCTGCCGGCCGAGCCTGGCCCTGCGAGGGGCAGCGGCCCCCCGCGTCTGGGCGGTCGGGCCTGCGTCTCACGGGGGGCTGAGCCCGTCCACCACTCTCATGCTTACCCTACAGCCGTGTGGGGCTGTGCTCCACGCTGAGCTGGAGTCTGGGCAGCCGCGCTCTCCAGGCTCCGGGCGTGTGGAGCGCCCCGAAGGGGCCCCGGCTCCCACCCTGCAGCCTCGGGGGTCACGGGGGGGGCAGGAGTCCCTGGAGCCCAGGTCCGGAGGGCGGGCTTCCCCGAGGTCTGTCCCCGGCTGCCGGTGCTGAAGGAGTCAGGCCTGCCAGCCGAACAGCCTCGTGGTTCCTCTCCACGTCCCCAGTCCAGCGAGACCCGGGCCCCAGGCCCCCAGCCCCGCGCTGGTGCCCGAGACCGACACGCAGACCCTGCCTTCTGCGGAGCCCCCCGCCCCCCTCGGCGGCTCCTCCTGACGCCCGCCCCCCGTCTCCGCAGCGTCCGTGGGGGTGCGGTGCATGATCGGCGTGACGGAGATCGACAAGGGCTCTGCCTACGGCGACGGCGACAGCAGGCAGAGACACGGCGACTGACTCGGGACCACGCGGCCGCCCGAGGGGACCTTGGGGACCTGGTGGGGCCCGGGGGCCGCGCTGGGAGAGCCCCCGCTGGGCGCGGGGGGTGTGGTCTCCACACCACCGGACGGGGCTGGAGATGGGCTTAAACCTCTTCCTCGCCACTCGCTCGCGTGGGCTCCGGTTCTTTCTGCGTGTGTGTGCGCGTGTGCGTGCGTGTGTGTGAGAAACAACGCAGCGCAGTGAGGCTGGCTGACGTGCAGCCTCGGGCAGGCCTGGCCCTGTGATCGCCGACGTGGGTGCGGCGTGGGGAGGGCAGCCGGGGGACTGTCCCCTGCCTCCTCCGGCCCTGCTGTCTGTAACCCTGACGGCCAGAGAGAGAGCGAGCGGGGAAGACCCTGTAGGTCAGACGACTAAATTATGCCTCACAAAAACAAAATTAAAGTGTTTGGCTCCTTCAGTGTGAGTGAGCACAGACGCACCCCCCTTCCGCCCTGCACTTGCCGTGGGGCCGGGAGTTGGGGCCTGGGGGCTGGCCAGCAGAGGGCGGGCTCACTCGGCATGTGGAGGTGCCGACCACTGACAGCACACGTGAGGCCGGGGCCCCGAGAGTTTGAGGGGGGCGGTGGGCGCTGGGGGTCGGCTGGGCAGTCCCTGTGGTGGGCAGTGATGGCCCCGTAAGGCGGCTGTGGTCTTCCCAGTCTCCCTGCCTCGGGGTCTCTCCTCCCTGAGCCTCGGAGACGTGCCCAGCTCCCTGCAGGACCCGACCTTGAAACCCGGGCTCTGCAGCCTCGCAGAGCTGCTCTTACCTCCCCGCCACCCGGGCAGCAGGCAGACACGGCGCGCACCGACACCACGCAGGCCCCCCTTGCACGTGCACCGCACAGGCCCTCCAGGGGCTCCCCGGCCGGGTCCGACTGCAGCCGGCCGGGGAGCCGGGGGGCCCTGGGCTGCTGCCTTCCTCCCGGAAGCCCAGACTCCTGCTCCGGGGAAGTTCTGCTCTGCGGCCCCCGGTCTCTGGACAACGGCCCCCACGCAGGACTTCTGCCTGCGAACTCTGCCGTCGGCAGACACCAGACGCACACCCAGAAGGCAGAGCGGCATGTCCCGGAGGCGAGCAGCAGGGACAGACACGGTCCTCTGACCGAGGGGCAGCGGCACTGGGACTCACGGGGGCTCACGGGCACGAGCGCTGGCGGGAGGGGCCTGTCCCCGGAGCACCTGCGCCCAGGGCAGGCCGGGCCGGCGGAGGCGGGAGGAGCGTGCGCACGGCAGCTGGCCGGGCCCGCCGCGGTCAGAGGCGTCTTCCACTCAGAGCCGTGCGCTCAGGCGTGTGCTCAGGTGTGCGGGCGCGCCCATCACAGACCCGGGTGCCAGGGCTGCAGCCTCCCCCGCACAGCAGAGTGTGCCGAGCGCCCACGAGGACCTCCGTCTGGGTTCAGGACGGGCGGGTCACCGGCACCCGCCTGCGGCCGTGAAACACAAACTCTGGCCGAGCTGTGGGAGGGGCTACCGGTGAGTCCAGGGCCTGAGCCCGGACACCCACTAGTGTCCCCGAAGGCAGGGTCGCCTCCCATGAGAGGTCGTGGCCCAGGCCGGATGCAGCCATCCACAAAGCACACAGGACAGATGCGGGGGCAGGAGCCCGGAAACGGGGAGCCCCCCAGGCTGCCGAGGTCTGCACCCTGTGGCTGCCTCGCACCTGGAGGCGGGGCTGTTCCACCCTGGGGACCCCGAGGCCGTGGGGGTGCCGGCCACGCTCTGAGCTGCACCCCCACCCCCACGGGACGAGCTCGGAGCAAGGCCTGGGCCCAGCTGCCTACGGAACGGGGGTGACACCCCCTCGTGGCTTCTCTGGGGAAGCCAGGCCACCTGTGTGCACGCACTTCCGGACCCTAGCCCGTGACAGGGGAGGGCAAGAGGCCACCTCCATGGTGCTGCTTCCCAAAATGACCAGGAATTTCCTCCAAGTGCCCCAAAACTCGCCGTTTTCCTCACGGCCGTGCTGCCATTTGACACAGTGCAGTCTACGTACTAACCACGCACTCCGCTACCCACTGCCGGGCAGTGCAAGGGGCCCACGGACATCTCGCTCTTCCCCGAGTGGGCTCTGAGCCAGACAAGACCCAGCAGGGAGAGACCCACGCATGCGCACACGCGACGCCCCAGGGCCGTGTCCAGGGCGGAGGGCGGCGGCACAGTCTCCCAGTGCCTGGGGGGAGGCGTCCTTCCGTGCTGTCTCCAGAGGGACACGCCGGGGTGGCAGCCTTACCCCCCCCCACCCCCAGCTCTCAGTCCCGCTGCACGGGCCGCGGCACCTGGGTCACCACGAGCTGGCTCCTCCTCCGTGCAAACAGGGTGGCAGGGACAAGCCCCGCCCCCGCTGAGAAAGGGTTCTAGACGCGGGGCGAGAGCTGGCTTCTGTGTCTGGAGCCCGGGACTCGTGCTGGCCTTCCTCACTGCCGCCGGCTGCACGGACGTCAGTGGCCGGCCCGGCGTCCCTCACTGAATTGTGAAGCAGTCCCCTCCCCCACGTGCGGCCTCTGCCAAAGAGTCTTTCAGGGACGGCAGGCCCACTGCCTGAAGCCCTCTCTTCTGGACTCTGCTGCGTCTGCTGAGAGACACGGTGCCTGCACGGGTGAACGAGGAGTTGGCTGCAGCGCAGTAGGGAGATTCCCTAAAAACACCGTCAGAGATTTAATTGGAAACCATTTTTAAAGCATTCTTTTTTGGCCAGGACGAGTGAGGCTCAATCGACCTCCCTGATGAACATGCCAGACAAAGGGGTGGGGGGGAGCATGGCAGGCAGTCTCCCCAGGCCCCCCACCCCTACCCCCTACAGGCCCCTGCGCCGAGGGGCGCTGTCACCACCTCCGCGCGAACCGGTGCACACGCCCGTCTCTCCCCGTCCCACAGGGTGTCGCAGAGACGTGCACCCAGGGACGGCGGAGGGCCGGCACGCTTCCCTGTGTCCCTCGGCCCGTGACACGCACGCGCCGCCACCCTCAGCATCCGTCACCAGCGGGCGTCTGTGGACAACCGCCAACCATGGGAGCCGCCACGGCCTGGGGGAGACAGCAGAAGGGAGCACTTCCCCCCGGGGGGCGTCCGTGTCCTGAGCCCAGGACCCGGGCCCCAGCGGGCTCAGCGGAGACTGCCTGACGGGACGCTGACTGAGAGGCTGTAACAACGAATTCCTCCTGCCGTTGTCTCCCCACCCCCTTTCCTGAAGCAAGAACAAAACCTCCCTCAAGCCCAGGGTGGCCGAAATGAGCTGCAGCACTGCGGACACGCCCGGCCCCCTGGCTGTGTGCGCTGGGGGGGTGGGGGGGGCGTGTCCAGGCCAGGCGCTTCTCCGCCCCACAGCCTGTCCTGCAGCAAGGTGGAGGCTGCAGGCTCATCACAAAGCACTTGTCAAGCTCTGGCCGGTGCAGCTCAGTTGCCCGGAGGGTCACTCCCGTAAACCAAAGGGGCCAGGGTTCGAATCCCGGTCAGGGCACCGCCGAGAGTACGGGGCCAGTGCCTGGTGGTCAGGGTGCATGTGAGAGGCAGCCGATCGATGTCTCTCCCCCGCCTTGCTCACTCTCTTCTCCCCTCCCCCCCCAGCTCTCTGAAATCAGTCAGCAAGGCCTTGGGTGGGATTTCTTATAAGCATTCAGGAAGCACCTACTCAGACTCCTCCTGCATCTAGAAATGAGGTCCTGGGGCTGCATCAGGAGGGCCTCACGCTGAGTAAGACTCATGCAGTCTCTGCCTTGAACGTATTTCTTCTACAGAGAAAGGCGCAAACAGCCGCGTTTCTCCCGTGGGAGTGACTCAGTACTCTTTCAGTTTCTGGCACCGGCTCGTCCTGTTGACAAACAGGCCGTGACTGCTAGGGACACAGAGTCAGGGCTGCCCAGTAGCAACCCTCTGGGTTTCTGAAGTGGGTTGAAACTGCACTTTCCCTCCTAACGGCCCAAAGTGCCAGCCGCAGCCTGGGCGTCGCCCACCACGCCGGGAAACGAAGGGACGGCATGAAGGAGTTTCGGGACGCCGCTCCAGCCGTGCGTCTGCACAAGGCGAGGAGGGAAAGGGGCAGAGTGTGTGCACAGAGCCGACCTGGCAGAGGCGCGCACAGTGTGAGCCTCAGGTGTGCGCGGTGCCCCTGCCCCGCCCGAGGGTGCGGCGCCCAGAAGACGCCGGCTGCTCCACGGGACCCCTGCGGCCACAGGGCGGCCGTGGTGGACGGAGCAGCGGCTCCCCCGCCCCGTCTCATCCCAGGCGACGGGGCAGAAGGGGCGGCCCCACCTTCGCAGCGGCCCCCCCATCCGACACCGCGCACAGAAGCGCACTAGCAGGGGGCAGACCTGCGTGTGGGAGCCCAGCCCCCAGGACTCGGGGAGGAAACCGCAGGGAGCGTGTCCACGACCGGGGGGCAGGGGGCGACTCCGCGGAAGTGAGCTCGAGAGCACGCACGTGGGCCACCGAGCAGACCACGGAGATGCCGTGGGGAAAGGGAGGACACGCCACAGGCTGAGGGAACACGTCGGCAAGTCACGCACCCGGGGGAGGACCCGAACGCAGAATGTATCCAGTTTTCTCATGGCTCGATCGCCGGACGCACAACCCGAGTGACAGACGGGCAAGAGGTTCGACCCGACGCCTCGCCCGAGAGGGCAAACCCACGGCCACCGAGCCCCGGAACACCGCTCGCCGCCGTCGGGGAGACGCAGAGCGGAGCCGCCACCCCGCCAGGCGCCGCTGCGCGGACAGCACGGGCTCCCATCGGAGAGGACGGCGGCGCCAGGTCCTGGCCAGGCTCCGGAGCGGCCGGGGCCGCCTGTGCGGCTCGTGGGAAGCAGGTCGCACAGCCCCTTTGCAGACATTTCCTAAAATACCGAACCCAGCCTCCGCCAGGCCCAGCAGTCCCGCTCGCGGGAGAAACGAGGGCAGGTCCACGCAGAGACCCGTGCATGGACGTTCCCAGCAGGGCTCTTCGGGACGTCCCCGAGGAGGCGGCAGGAAGTGGACAGAGAAGACGTGGGGCCGTCCACGCGCGGGGCCGGCGCTCGGCCACGGGAAGGAGGGGGCGCCGGCACGTACCACAGCGCCAACGGGCCGCGGAGCGACGACTCGGGTGACACAGGCAGACGCACGAGGCCACCTGCCGTCAGAGCCTCCTTACCTGGGCGTCCAGAGGCGGCGAGTTCCTGCCGAGACGGGCAGTGGCTCGGTGACGCCCCCTGCTGGGACGGGAGGTTCCTGCGGGTGGCGGGCACGTTCTGAGACAGACTGTGAAGACGACGGTTGTGCCACAGGAACGACACGAAACGCCATCGAAGGACACGCTTCAGAC